GGAGGAGAAGCCGGCCGCTCCCCGGCCGGCCGCAGAGAAGGCCAAGAACGAGGAGGTGAGTCCCGCCCCTCCCTCCCTCCCTCCCTCCCTCCGGGCGGCCCGGGCAGGACAGCGGGGAGCACTGTGTGCCTCTCCAGAGGGCCCCCCAGGGCTCTGCGTGTGTGTGCACGCTCACCCGCGTGTCCTCGCCCCCAGTACATGAAGAAGCTGCACATGCAGGAGCGGGCGGTGGAGGAGGTGAAGCTGGCCATCAAGCCCTTCTACCAGAGGAGGGAGGTGACCAAGGAGGAGTACAAGGACATCCTCCGGAAGGCCGTTCAGAAGGTGGGCGGGCCCGGGGTGTTGGAGCGGGGGAGGGTGCGGCCGGGGCAGCGCGGCCCCGGGGAGTGCTGGGGTCCGGACGGCGTCCTTCCTCGCTGCTTGTGAAGGAGGCCGACGGCACCCTGGGGTGTCTCTGGCCACCGTGGTGGGACCCTCGGTGGCCCTGAAGGACCTCTGGGTAACTGTGCCTCCCCTCGCCCCAGATCTGCCACAGCAAGAGCGGGGAGATCAACCCTGTGAAGGTGGGCAACCTGGTGAAGGCGTACGTGGGCAAGTACCGGCACATGCGTCGGCGCCGGCGGCCAGAGGCCGGCGAGGAGCCCGCTGCCCAGGGCGCCGAGGGCTGAGGCCGCACCGTCCCCAGCGCCCAGGGGCTGCTGTCCCGGCCCCCGGCAGTGCTGCTGGGGGTGGCAGGAGCAGAAGGCTCCGGGGACACCCAGCACTGTCCTCAGGGCTCCTGTGGCCACACGAGGCCTGTGCACCTGTCCCGCTGGACTTACATTGGACTTTTTTATATGTGTACATTATAGATACACTGTTTCATTGTGTTCTAATTTATCAAAAACAAATTATCTTTAGAAACTTCTTGGTTGCCTCAGTGCTTGAACAGTGCGCCCTTTGCTAAAGCCGGGTGGGGGCCCTCGCGGGCACAGGGGCTGCCCGCGTCCTACTGAGGCGACCCCCGCTGTCTTTGCCGGTGATGGCCTGCCAGCAACGGCTCCGGTGTCCGACCGGTGCCGCCACCGCTGGCAGAGAGAGCACTGTGCACGCTGGGACACTGGTCCCCGGGGAGGCCCCGGGAGCCACAGCACGCCCGGTGGGAGCCGCTGCCCCGGGCGGCTGGTGCTCGTTGGTGGGGTGTCGGCTCTGAAGTGTGTGGCCGGGTTTCTTCGTTGTGAGGATGGAGAAAGTGGGTGTGCTGGGGAGGCCCAGGTAAGGGTGGGGGGCCACTTCCCACCCGGCCCCGCCCTGAGTCCCCCCAAAACAGGAGACCAACACCAGTTCTTGGTCCTCTTTATTGCATTGGGGAGGGGCCCGGCCCGGCCTGGGCTGCCTGCTCTGCCTGCTCGAAGTCCATCAGGAGTTGCTCCAGCTCCTCAAACAGGTTGAAGCTGGACAGGCAGAGGTCCAGGCTGCTGCTGTCCAGGGAGGACACGCCTTCCCGCTGGGCGCCCTCCAGGTACACGCGGCACAGCCAGGGCTCCAGCTGCAGGGGCACACGGTGAGCGGGGCTGGACCAGGGCAGCAGTCAGGCACCGCCCCCCACCCCCACCTGGGGCCCCAGGCCCCACCTTCACCAGGACCAGGCTCCTCTCCTTGGGCCTCCCGGCCGACAGGTCCTGCCCGAAGCCCAGGTAGATGGTGTAGTGTGGGGATCCCTGGCGCCGGCGAGCCCGGAATTCCAGCAGCTCTGCAGGGGGTGGCTCTGGTGAGGGCGGGGCGGGGCGGGGTGGGGGGACGCCGGCCCCAGGACCGCACCGCACATCACTGACCCCTGAAGAAGGTGCTGAAGTCGAAGATGGGGGTGTCGCAGTTCCTCTGCAGCAGGCGGGCGGGGCTGGAGGGGCTGTCCGAGGCCAGGGGGCCGCCCACCTCCCAGTAGACTTTGCACTTGCCCCCACGCCGGGCCCACAGCTCCGACCCCCGCAGGTCGAGCTGCAGGCCCGGGGCCACGTGCTGCAGCAGCTTCTCCGTGTACTGCAGCTGCTTCTGGTCCGGCAGCTCCGCGGGGCTGGGGAAGGCCACCAGCTGCGGCGCCGAGGCCCGGGTGGCCGGGTCCGGTGTCCCGTACAGCAGCACGCAGCTCGGGTGCCCGACCACCTGCTGCAGCACCGTCCGGCCCTTGTACAGGATGGTCACGTGCAGGGCCCCCGGGCCGGGCTCCGGGTGCGGCTGCAGCCCTGGGCAGGGGGGCCGCACCATCCCGGTGCAGGGCTCTGCCTCCAGAGGGCGCTGCCAGGTCTCGGGGGCTGGGCCTGCGGCGGGAGGAAGGCCTGAGCTGGCACCTGGTTCCCCGGCCCCTCCCCCTCCCCCTCCAGGCAGCCCCCAGCTCCTCTCACCTGTCACCTGGGCCTGGAACTGGGACCCGGGGCTGGGGGCCACCTCCACAGCCTGCTGAAGGTACATCTCAGCAGGGAGCTCTGCACCTGAGAGCGAGGACCAGAAGCACTGCACTGTCTCGGCCTGGCCGCACCCGCCCTGCGGGGCCCAGCCCCCCCGGGCTCCGCTGTGCTGCCTTCCCCTCCCCTTGCGCAGAGCCCTCCAGGGCAGAGCCCCCCCCGTCCAACCCAGCCCCTCACCAGAAGCCTCTAGAGGGCCTGCGTCGGCCCCCTGCACAGCTTCCAGCAGCTGCTGCTCCAGGCAGCTCTGCTGCAGGGCCTGGAACAGGAGGTCCTCCACGCAGTCCGCCGGGCCCGGGAGGGGGCGAGGGGCGCAGGGCACGGGGCTCAGCCCGGCTGGCCTGGGCCCCAGGCTCTCAGCAGCGCCTCCTGTGGGGCACAGCCCCGGCAGCCCACCCTGCAGGGGAGGACAGTGCCGGCATAAGCAGCCCCCAGCCCAGCGAGGGGGCGGCCCCCACCCCGCAGCTGGGAGGGCAGAGCAGCCTTACCCCCGTGGGCGGGGCGTCTCCAAGGGCTTTGTCCTCCCTCTGGCTGGTGCCCGGACCTTCTCAGGGAGAAGTGGGAGGGGGCAGCAAGGGCACGTGAGGCTCCACGCCGGTCCACGGCCCCCTCCCCTAGTCCCAACAGGTCCCTTCAGCTCCCTCCCCCGCACGCCCCTCCCACCCGGCACCAGCTTCTCCCGCAGGAGAGAGTCTCTCACACCACGGAGCCCAGCAGACCCCCTGGCAGGCACGACGCCCCTGCACCCTGCGCCGCGCCACCCCTCTGCCCCGACCTGCGGCTCCCCCGCCGCTCACCTCTGCGTTCCAGGGCAGACCGGAGGGCAAACACCTTGTGCGGGTCGGTGGGGTCTCCGGAGTTGTCCTGCAGCATGACGAACCGCTTGGTGCTGTCCAGGGCGCAGCGGAAGTTGGTCTTCCAGCTGGCCCGGAGCGGGCCCTCGGCAGCGGCTGGCGGGTCTCCCGTGCCCCTGCTGGGCGGCCACCTGCCGCGGGCCACGGCCCAGGCCTGGGGAGGGAAGCGGAGGGTGTGGGCCTGGGGGGACGGGCCCAGCCGACCCTCCCCCACGCCCCGGGCTGGCTGGGGTCCTACCTTGAAGATGCGGGAATCCGCCTCGCCCAGGTCCTTGCGCGCAAAGTGTTTCCAGGGCACTCGGAAGAGCGTGCGGGCCCCGTTCAGCCACCGCAGCCCCTCGTAGCGGCCGCTGCCGACCTCACCCAGAAGCCAGTCCGCAAAAAGCACGCGCGGGGTCCCCCTGCGGGTGGAGCAGCCAGTGGGTCGGGGCGCCCGGCACGGCGGGCGGGCCGGCGCAGGCAGGCAGCGGGCTCTCACCTCTCAGGGTCCGCGGCCATGGTAGTCAGCTGGCCCCACAGGCGGGGGCGGGGGTAGCTCGGGGGCCGCCACAGAAGCGCGGCCAGGTGTCAACGTGGCCCAGCCGTTACAGGCGTTGGGGTCACAGACGCGGGGCGAGGGCTTGTAGCCAGCCACAAGGTTGCCCCGGTGTGGATCCCTTGGCAAAGGTGGCGATGGGCGTGAGTACAGACGTGGCAGTGGGCACACGTGAAGTCACAGGTGTTGAGCCAGAGTCCCGGCCTGGGGGCGCGCGGGCCGGGCCCTGCGGAGACAGGGCGGGAAGCCGCTGGAGGGCCTGGCGCCGGGAAAGCGAAACCGCGAAGCAGCGAGTCTCGGGAAAACGAAACCTAACCCTCCACTCCCACGAGGCTGGCGCATCCCCGTCCCGACCAACCCCCCGCCCGTGCCGTCGACCCCCGCCTCCGCCTCGAACCAGGAGCTGCCTCTCCGGCTCCGCGTGGGCAGGGGTCCTGCGTACCTGGAACCGGAGCCGCCGGCGCGGGAAGTTCGCTTTCGCGGAGAAGCCGGGAACCGGCGGTTTTATGCTGGGACTACCGGGGGCGGGGCGGGGGCGGGGCGCCGCGGATCCCAGGTGCAGCCGCGGGTGTCACGTGCTGCGGCGGTCTGTGCGGGGCGGGTTGCCGGGTGCGCGCGGTGTGAGCCCCGGGGCGCGCGTCCAGGCTCTCCAGTGAGGGTGCGCACGCCGGCGGGGGTCAGTGGCGGGCCGTCGCGGAGGGGCGGCCGGCGGGGCTGGTCCCACCCGCCATCCCCCACCCTTGGTCCGACCACTGCTCCGGACTCCCGTCCCCACTGGGCGGCGTCCCACCCCATTCCACAAGCCACAGGCCAAGCGCCTGGGTGTTTCCTGCCCTCACTGGACGGCACAGGGACGCAGGCTGCGCCCCCCGGAAGGTCCGGGAGCTGTGCGCCCTGAATGCTCTGGAGGGTGGCTCCGGGGGAGGGAGCTCCTAAGCCTCCCCCAGGCCCACAAAGTCCCAGTCGGGTCGGGAGGGGGCCCCAGGGCAGGCGCCCTCCTCCTCCAGCCGCGATTGCCCGGGGAGAGGAACCTCCCGCCGCCAGCTGGCCGGCCCAGGAAGCCTCGCGGCAGGTGCTTTACGGGAAGCAGCGCCCGAGAGCCCAGTGGAGGGATCGCCCCGCCCGCCCGCCCCACTCGCGCGCAGCCCGCAACGCGCCACGGGAGATTCAGAACCGTCACTTTATTCTGCGCGGCGCGGGGCGGGGGTGGGGAGAAAGGGTTGGGGGGCGGCGCGGCTGCCAGGCCCCTGCTCCGCTGGGGGGCGCTAGATGTAGGTGGAGTCGTGGGTGGACGTGTAGGGGGCGTCGCCCAGGTCCGAGGCTCCGTCGCCTTCGTCGCCGCTACCCTCGCTGCCCGGGTCCGCATCCGAGGTGGGCGCGTTCAGCACCACCACGTCGGCTTCCGCCCCGATGTTCTCGCCGAACCACACGGCCTTGTAGCCGCCCTCGGGCCGCCGCTCCTTGGTCAGGATGGACCGCACGCCCGCGGGTCCGCCCTCGTCCCGGGCAACCGCAGGGGACTCGGGGATGGGGCTGGGGGACGCAGGGGCGGGCAGCGTGGGCAATGGGGGCGCGGGCGGCTCGGGCGTCAGAGGCTCGGGCGACGCTTCGGCCGGGACCTCAGCCTGGGTGTGGGTGGGCGGGGTGCTGGGGGCGGGCGCCCAGTTGGCCTCTCCGTCGTCCGCGAGGAAGGTCTTGTTGTCAAAGCCCTGGAGCTCCTGGGGAGGGGCGGGGAGCCAAGGTGTCCACCGGGACCTCCGAGCTTGGACACTGATGGCCCCCAGCCCTCCCCTGCTCTCTGCGCACCGCCCCCCGGGGGGCCCTCCCCACCCTTCCACTCTAGGCTGCACCCCACCCTCCTCACCCCTGCCCTCCAGCCCCGGGCTGGCTCCAGGCCTCCAACCTGCTGCCTCTGCCCCACCTTGCCACCACTGTCCCTGCCCTCACATCCCACCTCTGCCTCTTCGCTTCCGTCCCTCTCCCACCCTGTGCCCTTGGCCAGGGCCTCACCGGCGCCTTGCTGGAGCAGCACCGCAGCCGGTGGCCATAGTGCTTGTGCACCAGGATCACCAGCGCGATGATCGCCAGCAGCAGCAGCGTGCCCAGCACCCCGCCCAGGGCCGCCATCTCCGTCACAGAGTAGCGCTGGTCATCCGCGTGGCTGCCACCTGGAGGGACCCCGCCAGTACCTCCTCCAGTCCCAGGGGGGCCTGCAGGTCACACCGCCGCTCACTGTCGGCTCAGCACCCAGCTCCCCGCCTGTACCGGGCTCGGGACCCCCGGGAGCTCGCTGGCCTCAGGAGTCCAGCGCCTCCTGAGCTGGACTGCGCCCCAGGATGTTGCAGGGAGGGAGGGGGACGACCCGGTGGGGCAGGTATCTGACACCACAGGATGGGAGGTGAGGGCAGTGCCAGGGCCAGTGGCTTGGGTGGTCTGGGAACGGTGGGCTTCATTGCACCCCAAATCTGGCCTCTGGCCCACCCTTGATGCACTTCCAGTTTACCTCATTGGGCCCCCCCAGGACCTGTCTGTCTCCCCCAGACCAGGGCACCCCCCTGCATTTCACAGTCAGCAGGGACCCCGCTCTGCCATGACTCCAAGGCCACCCAGTGTCATGCGCCAAAGAGCAGGAGGGTGGCTTCAGAGCCAGTGGGGTGCTGTCCCAGGGTGGGGGGTCCTCTGGGCCCGTGGGGTGCCATCTGAGAGGTACCTGGGTTCGGGGTCTGTGTTGAGTTCCCAGTGGGCGAGGCTGATGAGGGGGAGGTGCTGGTTCCCTCACCGGAGGGCCCCCCAGGTGTGGACGAGGCAGGTGGCCTCAGGGTTGTGCCTGTGGGGGGGTGTGGGCCAGGGGACCCCCCAGAGGTGGTCGTAGAGGATCCCTGGGATGGCCCGGGGGGGCTGGGGGCTTCTGAAGTGGAGCTGCTTGTGGGGGGGGCGTGTGGGGGGGCGTGGGCCAGGGGACCCCCCAGAGGTGGTCATGGAGGGCCCCTGGGAAGGCCCGGGGGGGCTGGGGGCTTCTGAAGTGGAGCTGCTTATGGGGGGGCGTGGGCCAGGGGACCCCCCAGCGACCGTCGTGGAGGGCCCCTGGGACGGCCCCGGGGGGCTGGGGGCTTCTGAAGTGGAGCTGCTTGTGGGCCGGGCTGTTCCTCCAGTCTCGGGGGGTGTGGGGGAGCCTGGGGGGCCTGGGGACCAGGACACAGCTCGGGCTCGCCTCTGTCCGGGGCACGCCCGAGACAAGAAGCCCTCCCACCCGAGGGTCTCCCAGGCCCCGAGGCTCACCTGTGGGGGTGGGCGGTTGCTCGGTGACTTCGATCTCCAGGACGGTGGCTGCCGTGCCCGACGTCACCGTGTTGGTGGCCTCCACCTGGGGCGGGAAGGGGCTGGTCCCTTTCAGGTCCCTCTCTGAGGCCCGTCCCCGGGAGAGGCTGCCGGTGCCTCACCTCTGCGTAGAAGACCCCGGCCTGCCCCAGCTGGGCGGCCGTCAGCACCTCCTCCCCATGCATTCGGAAGTTGGAGTTGTTGGTGACTCGGTAGGTGATGGCTGAGTTGAGGTCCTACACAGAGACCGCCCCAGTGGGCCCTGGGCCCAGGCTGCCCCCGGGACCCCCAACCCCACCCCAGACCGGGGGCCCAGGCGGTGCCTACTGGGAACTCGGGGTCCTGGGCCCAGATCCTCAGAGGCTGGGAGGGGGCGGCTGCGTCCTTGACTGCCGCGCCCACACCGGAGCCCACAGCCACGGTGCCGCGGTACAGGCTCTGAGGGAAGCGAGGCAGGCTCCCCGAGGCGTTCCGGGCCTCCACGGTGACCTGGGTCACCGAGTAGCGGGCGCGGTCCTCCTGCTCGCCCTGGCGGGAGGGAGGCGGCCGTGACCAGCGGGTCCTTGAAGGGGAGAGCCCCGCAGCCTGAGGCTCAGAAAGGGGCCTTGGAGACCTGGCCAGGGGCACACCTTGACCAGCAGAACGAAGGTCCGGGGGCTGGAGACGCTCTTGGTCATGGTGAGGTTGCCTGAGTCAGCGCCAATGGCGAAAGTGTCGTCCTCGTTCCCCTGTCCTGGGAGGATGGCGGGAGGGCTTGGCCTTGACCCCCCGCCAGAGGCAGGAGGCCCAGGGTCCCGGCGGGCTCTGCCTGAGTGGCAGGTCCCCTGGGGTCTCCTCACCCGTGGTGGGGGCAGCCTGGGGCCTGGGGGTCATGCAGGAGGAGCTGGGCTGGCCCCCACTCACGTCTCACGAGGCTGTAGATGATGCGCTGGTTGATGCCCCAGTCCCCGTCCACGGCATAGATGGGCCCAGGCCACAGGGTGAGGGGGGACGGCTGTGGGGACCCGGAGAGGAGGGGTCCGTGCGGGCCAGCGCGAGGCCCCCGCTCGGCCCCTCCTGGTGGCCTGAGCGCCCAGTGGGCCTGCTGTCCAGCCAGGCTCCCTCCCGCTCCTCGGGACCCGTTGGAATGAGCTGCTTTGTCCGAGGACGCCGGGCTGCTGTGACCACTGAGTGTCTCAGGAGGTGGCACCGCTGGGGACGGGGCAGCTCCCGGGGAGAGGTCTGGACCCCTGCCCTCTGGCGTGGGGTGTCGGGACGTCGTCCCCCGTGGCAGGAGCGGGGACAAGCAGCCCTGGGCCCCGCCCCCCCCAGGGTCCCAGCCCACTGCAGCCACCCTCCTCCCTCGAGCCCCAGGGGCGTCTGCTCCCCGCCCAGGAGCACGGGGCTGGGAGATGGGTCTGCAAAGCAGCGCTCACATTCGTTTAAAAGTCCCAGCCGCGTGCGGCCCCACCCTCGGCAGGCACCCACCCTGAGCCTCCCCCGGCCCTGACCCCGGCTCTGGCCTCGGCCCTGCCCAGCCCGGGCCCCAGTACCAGTCTGTGGCCTGTGGGGATGGCCCCTCGGTACTGGGCCGAGAGGCAGAAGTGAGGCTCTTCGTAGACACAAGGCAGGAACCAGGGGGGCCGCAGGTCGGCGGGCTGCACCTCCAGGACCAGGGTGGCCGTGGCCGTGTGGCTGGGTACCACATCCTCCTCCTGAGTGTCCTGCAACCCCGGGGCCCTGACGGTCAGCCTGGGAGCCGGGCGGCTCCAGCGGGGACCCGAGGGGCCCGGACTCGGCCTCGGGGGCCGCGGCCTGCTCACCCGGACCAGCAGCTGGAAGGTCATGTTCCGATGTCGGTCGAAGTCCAGGGGCCGGTCCAGCCGCAGGGCGGGCAGGTTCACACCCACCAAGGAGAACAAGTCCCTGGCACCCTGGAGAGATGGGGCCGGCTGAGACCCGGGAGGGTGCGGGGAGGATGGGGCGCCCCAGGGTGGGGCGGGGGATGGCCTTGCTGACCGGGGTCACTTCCTGCAGGGTGTAGAACAAGATGTCATCTTTGTCCAGGTCCTCGGCCTGCAGCTCCGTCTCCGGGATGACAGTGGTGTTCACTTTAGTGTCCTGGGGGGCGGAGGGGTGGTTGGTCTGGCCATTCCCCCTGACCCCACAGACCCATCCCCAGGGTCAGGCCCCGCCGGCCCTCTGCACCCCACACACTCACCTCGGACACCTTCTGGACCTTGACCTCAAAGCGGAACCTGGGCGGGTTGTCATTGACATCCAGCACGATGACAAGCACCTTCTGCTGGGTCACCTGGGGGGACCGGGGGCGGTCAGCCTCCTCCCCGTGGTCCCCCCCGCGCCGCTCTGCTCAGGCCCGGCTCAGCTGCAGGACCAGGCTGTCTGCTCCGGCGGGGTCACAGAGCCGCAGAGCGGCCGTGAGACCGTGCACAGGAGCCGCGCCTGCTGAGGGCCCCCCCCGCCGGCCAGACCGCAGGCGAGGGCCGGGCCGGACGAGCCTCAGTCCTCCTGCCTGAATCTCAGGAAAGTGGAGGCAGAGGGGGCCTGGGTGGGGACACTCGGGGAGACACTGGCCCAGAGCCCCACCTGCCCTGGTGGGCGGCTGTGACTGAGTCTGTGACCCCGGGGCAGCGGGCACTGCCCATGGTGCCGGTGTCACCAGAGAGGCGTTCCTCGAGCGAGAGGTGTCCTCATCTTCGGAGACACCCTGAGACGCGAGGGAGGGACACGGTGCTGCCCGCCTGGGGTGCCCGGGGGCTCGGGAACCAGAGGGGCGCGGCTCGTGGGGGCCGAGGCGCGGGGGCAGCCACACCTCCAAGCGTCTGCTCTCTCCCCCCTGGAAGGCACCTCAGGGGCGGAGGCGTGTGGGGCGAGGGGGTGTCCTCTGGCCGCATGTTTGAGTGTGGGCGGCACCAGACGCTCCCCCCAGCGGCGCACTTGGCTTTGACTCTGAGAAAGCGGCCCAGGAGTTGTAGGCAGACACTCGGGGAAGGTGAGGCCGAGGGCGCAGTGAGTGGAGCCGTCGGAAGGTTCCAGAAAGGAGATGCTGGCGGCCAAGACCCGCGTGGGGGTGCACGGTAAGGCTCCAGCTTCAGGCAGAGTCGGCTGACAGAAGGGGGTGGGGACCGGGAAGGTGACGGGGGACGGCGCCCTGTCTCAGGGCGGTCTGGCCGGAGGGCGTGTGGGTGCTGCCCGCATGGGCGACACCTGAGAAGTGCCCTCAGGTGAGGTCGCCTCGCCGGGCAGGGGCTCTGACCGCACAGGGTCAGGGGAGGGGCCCCCAGGCGGGCGGCGCGGGGTGGGACTCACCAGAGTGTCCCCTCGCCTGCACTCCAGGTGGGCCTCCAGCACCGGGTTCTCCTGGGGGGGCGGAGGGGGGAGAGTCAGGGGTCCCCTGCTCAGCTGGCCGCAGCACCCGCCGGGCTCTTGGGCGAGGGGAGACGGAGGCTGAGGGCGGGGCAGGCGCTCGCCCAGGGCCCCGGCGTCCGCTCCGAGTCCAGAGGGGACGGGGCCCCGGGCAGCTTGGTCCTCCCACACCCCGGTCCCCTCAGGTCTGCCCTCGGCCGGGCCTTGGGTCCCGAGCAGGGTCGGTCACTGCCCGGGGCCCGGGGCCCTTCTCCACGTGGGTCCCGGGGAGGGCCAGCCCCCTCCATCCGCCAGGCCCCCCGCCCCCCCAGGCCTGCCGTCCGAACCTCGTAGTCGGGAATCACATTGAGAAACAGCTGGGTCCCCTCGATCCGGAAGGCGAAGGGGGTGGACGAGGACCCGAGGGTCACCTGCTGGCCCTGGGGGACGGAGATGTCCACCAGGGGCTGGGTGTAGTTCTTGTTCTCCTCGACTTCGACGACGTTTGCGCTCACGGAGCAGGCTGGAGAGTGGTGGGGGTGGGGGGTGTCGGTCAGCGCCTCCCTGCCTCCCCCAGCCGCCCGCCCCCCCGCCCCCGCCCCAGCCACGCACCCTGCGCCTCGGCCGGGAGCAGCGGCAGCAGCAGCAGGGCCCCAGCCCCCAGGAGCAGGGCCCAAGCCCCCATCTCGGGGCGGTGGGAGGATCGCAGCCCGCCCGGTGTCCGGCGTTCGACTGCCTTCCGGGCGTCCGACTGCCTTCCGGGCCTCCGAGCAGCCGGCCTGCCCTGTCTCCGCCGGCTCGACCTTCGCCCCTGCCGGCACCGCCCCGCTTTATGGCCCTTTACGTGGGACTGGCCTCCGGCAAGGAGGCTCCCGCGGGCCGCGGGCCAAGCACCCGGCCTGTGCGTGCAGGAGAGCAGCCGGGTCACGTGCAGGGGCCCACAGGGCCCAACCCACAGGCGCCGAGACCCGGGGCGGAAAGGAGCTCAGAGACGCCCTGGGCCTGGGGGTGGGCGGTGCCCGAGGGAGGACAGGAGTTGTGGGCCCTTCAGGGCCCTGTGGGGCCAGGCAGAGGGGGCTGGGAGGGCCGGCCTCCGGCTTCCGGGTGTCCTGCCGCCCCCACAGCCGCTGCCCCCCTGCTGCTGGCAGAGTGGTCTCAGGGTGACTCTGAAGGCGGCTCCTGGGGCTCAGACCCGGGGTTCCCTTCCGGTCGCCTGCTCTTGCCACACCCCCCACCTCTGTCTGGAAGGACCGGCTGTCTGTGTCCTGGGGACGCGCCCGCCAGCCCCAGGAGCAGGCCGGCTCCCTCCAGGTGGAGGCGGCACTGTCACGGAGATGACGGTGCTTCGGGGAACCCTGGGCTGCCGGGGGGCTCTGGTGTGCGGCAGCGGGCAGCGGGGTGATGCTGGCCCCCCGCTGCCCTGCCCTGGCCCAAACCCACATCTAGGGGAGGCCACTGGGTGGGTCAGAAGGGAGGGAGGGGCTAAGCACGGTCCCCGGCCTCCTGCTGTCCCTGCGCTGTGGCCCCTGCAGCCCCAGCACCCCCTGGGGCATCCTCGGTGGCCGGGCCTCTGCTGGTCAAGCTGCCGTCCGAGACCGCACGGCCTGGACGGGGAGCTAGGGTTCCTGGCCTCCTGGATGTCCCCTCCCCAGCTGCCGCCTTGTCCAGCCCATCCTGGGCCTCCTTACCTCCTCAGACTGACCCTCCCCTCCGAGCCCCTGCTGAGTGGGTGACAAGGGGGTGGGTGGGGCCCAGGGAAGGCCAGTCAACGGGACAGGAGGTGGCCCTGACGCCGGAGATAAGGGATCGGGAAGGGGAGGCTCCCACTGGCTTCCCAGGTTTAAAGGGCAGCTGGGTGTGGCCTTGGGTGGACACCGTGGACGGCCCCTCGCCCTCTGCCCAGCTGCCTCGGTGGTACCAGGATGACACACACACGGGACTCATCAGGCCAGGGTCTGAGTTCTTCCTTTATTGGTGCCAAGGGCAGCCCCACCCCCGCCCCGCCCAGGCTCCCCTGGTCCATGGAGGGGAGCTGCTGTGTCCTCAGGGGCTCCTGGGGGTCTCAGCAGGCACGGTGGGGTCTGGAGCCACTGCCGCGGCCCTCAGTCCTCGAGGCAGCCAGGGAGACCAGGCCTGGTCTAGGGGGGACCCCGGAGGTGCCCTGCAGGGAGAGCCAGGTCGGGGGCTGCGGCCTGAAGACCCAGACCCGCCCGCCTCCCGGCTGGCCCAGTTTCACCGCCCAGGCCCCTGGGCCACCGCCTGTCCAGTTCCTGGCCCTGGCCCAGGGTGCCTCCCCCGGACCCCAGGGGACCCGGGGGGAAGGGTCTGGGGAGGAGCTCGGGTGGGGGGCACCGCAGGGGTTGCTCACCAGGCCCGAAGGGCCGGCGTGTTGGACCACAGCAGGCAGACAGGGCCCTCGGGGGGCTCGGACCCGGAGGTGCGGTTCTCCGTGTCCTGCTCGCTGCCCCCCACCCCAAATCAGAATGAGTCCTGGAGCTGGGGGTGCAGACTGCTGGGGCGAGGGGCCCCGCATGCCGGGCTGTCCCCCTCCAGGCGCCCCACCGCAGCGCGGGGAGCTCCCTCCTCGCAGGCGCAGCCCCCGCTCTCACCTGCGCTTCCCCACCAGGCTCTGGAGCAGCCGCTGCAGCCGCGCGCTCTCCCGCAGTCGGCTGAGCTCGCTGGTGAACGTCCCGTCCGAGTGTCGCGGGGCCCTGCGGAGGGGGAGGGGGTGGCGGGGCGGCGGACGCGTGAGGGCCGGGCGGGGGCGGGCGCGGGGCCGCGAGGGTGGGCGGGAGCGGCGCGGCTCACCTGCCGGGCGCGGGGCGCGGGGCGCAGCCCCGGAGCAGCGGCGTCAGCAGCAGCATTAGCAGCAGGGCCCGGGGGGCCATGGTGGGCGCGCCGGGGGTGCTGAGCTCTGCTGCCGCGGCTCGAGCCCCGCGCGGCCCTTATAGCGGCTCCCGGGGTGGGGGGCGGGCCGGGGGGTCCGCACCGCCCTGGCTCCGCGCAGCCCGGGCAGCGCCCCATCGATCCGCGGGAAGGTCAGGGCCGCCCCCCCATCTGTCGTCCCGGCTGGCCGCCCGCCCCCCTGTCCCGACGACTTGGCGCCCCAGGGCGGGCCGGGGCGGTTGGGGGGAGGGGGGCCGCCTGTGCAAGGCGTCGGAGCCTCAGCTCCCAGGGCTCGGAGCCTCGGAGGTGGGCTGGGGTGGGGGTCCCGGCCGGACCACAGGTGAGACGCCCCGAGGCCGGCGGGTGGTGCGGGGGGGCGACCTGCGGTGGAGACGCCCAAAGACGGGGGGTGGGGGAGGGAGAAGCCGGGTCCCTGGGGCTGGACCCGTAGGGGGCGAGGCTGGCGAGTGAAGGCGCGAACTAGCAGACGTTCCGAACACGACCGGCGGGCTTCTTCCCGAGCCGCTTCGGGCGGAAATTTGGGCCGAAAGACGGAGCCCCGCCCGCCGCCTCCCCTGGGCCCGGCGCCTCCCGCGGCGCCGCGCTGCCCACGGCGGATGGGCCCCGAACGACACGCGGCCGCGGAGCCCGCAGCGGGCGCGCGGGCCCCTCTGGCTGCCGCCCGCTCTGCGGGGCCGGGCACACGTGACACGGCACACGTGACACGGCACGTGTCCCCCGCTGCAGTCTCACTGGAGCAGCCCCCCGCCGGACCCCTCTGCGCTCCACCTGCTCAGCCCGCCCCTCCCCCACCCGCAGCTACCGCGAGCTTTTCGCTGTTTCCACTTTTGTCTTCTCCGGAGCGTCGTGCGGGTGCAGCGGACGCTCCGCGGCCTGGCCAGGCTGCTCCTCCCACTCAGGAACATGCGTTCACGTTTCCCCCACGCTCTTCACGGCCCGGCAGCTCATGTCTTTCCGGCCCTGAATTCACAGGCCGCCGTCTGGATGGACCACGGCTTGTCCATCCGTCACCCCCCCCCCCCCCGCCCGGCGGGCGTCTGGTCCCTTCCCAGCTTTGCGGTCAGGAAGAAGCCGCCGTCACCACCGCGTGCGGGTTTTCGTGTGGGCGTGGACGTCGCGTTCAGCCCCTCCGGGTCAGTGCCAAGGGGCACCGCGGCTGGCTGCCACGGGGAGAGCGAGATGGGTCCCTCGGGGGCTGCCCCGTCCGCACTCCCAGCCGCAGTGGGTGAGCTTCCTGCTGCTCCGGGTACCCCCCCCCCCAGCGCCTGCCGGGTCCGCGCTCAGGACGCGAGTCACCCCAGACGGCGCGCCGCGGAGCCTCCCTGCTGCTCCCTTTACCCCCGTTTTCAGACAGCTGCTGGGACTCGTTCTCGCACAGACGTGGCCGGTTAAATTCCAAACTTGTACACCATTGACCGATTCGACACATTCGCGAGAACGTCCCTGGTACTAACTTGACCGGTTGACTGTCTCAGCACCGCCCGCTCCGAGTAAACAGGCAGGTCTTCATAAGGGACACCTGATTTTTTAACAGATTTTATTTATTTTTATTTTTTTAAAGATTTTATGTGTTTCTTTTTAGAGAGGGAAGGGAGGGAGAAAGAGAGAGAGAGAGAGAAACATCAATGTGCGGTTGCTGGGGGCCATGGCCTGCAACCCAGGCATGTGCCCTGAGTAGGAATTGAACCTGCGATGCTTTGGTTCACAGCCCGAGCTCAATCCACTGAGCTATGCCAGCCAGGGCTGATTTTATTTATTTTTAAAGAGGAGGAAGGGCGGGAGAGAAACATCCGTGTGTGGTTGCCTCTTATGCACCCCCCACCGGGGACCTGGCCCTCAACCCAGGCCTGTGCCCTGACTGGGAATCGAACCGGGGACCCTTTGGTTCGCAGGCCGGTGCTCAGTCCACTGAGCCACAGCAGCCAGGCAACAGCTTCCCATTTTTAAGACAATTCACCTGCGGTAAGGTTGGCTTTAAAAATTCACACACAGTGAGGTCCGTACACAGTGAAAACCGGATTCTGGCAGATGGATAGATGTGTGTGGGCACCACCGTGGTCGGGAAGCAGGACAGTCCTCCCCCAGAGCACGCCCTCCGGCTGCCCCGCTGTGGTCACAGCCGCGGCCGGGGCAACCTGGGTCACACCTGCACAAGGGCGCAGGCAGTCACTGCCGAGAGGCACAGGTGGGGGCTGAGGCCAAGGGGAGGCTGTGTCCTGTGCATTCCTGTCACTTGGTTCTGTACCTACTTCATCTCACCGGAAAGGCTGTCACCCGCTGTCCCTGCCGCTGAGGTTTTCCTGCGTCCTCGCCAATGCCCAGCCGTGCAGAAGCGCAGGCACCGAGGTGGTGCGTCCAGGCTCTCCTGTGCCCCGAGGGGCGACTGGGACCCGGAAGGAGGTGAGCTGCGGGGTCCCGGGCAGCCCGACCCTCCCCTCCTGGGGGGAGGCACTACCTAGACTCAGTGGACAGACAAACGACACGGACAGGCTGCCGTGCGCAGCCCACAGACGCCGGCGAGCCAGCCCCGCTCCCCGGGCTGCCCAGGACGGCCGCCGGCTGGGTCCGCCTCTGTGGACCGTCCTTCAGACCGCACTGCCGAGGCTCCGTCGGGGTCCTGGTGCCACCAGTTCAGTGTCCGGGGTTCCACCAAGAAGACACGTCGTCTCTCCAGCGTAGACTGTGGGGAGGAAACCTCTGCACGGCCGAGGGTTTCGTCCACTGCTTTGTTCTGAGTAAGCAAAGCTCGGGGGATACTCTCTACGCCTTTCCCGCCTCTGCCAAGATCTAAACGTCCAGTTCAAGTCACTCCCGTCTACTCTCCGTTCTAGATCAGGGGGTGCATGGGAGAGAACCCTCTCTCTGCACCCGGGGGTGACCACTGCGCCCTTCCCGCCTTCCAGCAGCCACGGGCTGCGGCCCAGCCTGCTGGAGGCCGGGGACCATCAGGGACACTTTCAGGGCGTGAGCCCGGCCACACAGCAGCCTGGTGACCTCACTGTGACCTTAGCGGCACCCCGCTTAGGCCTAGAGAGAGAAAAACCACGTGCGTAGTGTGACCGAGAATTTCAAACATGCGGAGTAGACCGAACAGTATCATGAACTCACCTTCAATCGTTTATGACCAATCTTATCAACTCCATCTACTTCCTCTGTTTTTTTTCAGAATTGATTTTGGAGCAGATGGCGGAAATTGTATTATTTCATCTGTAAGGACACACTATACATCTTGGAGAGATAAGGACTGTCAGCTGAGGGCCCCTGACCCCTGGCGAGCCCCCCAAGGGCCCCTGTTGGTCAGGAAAGCTGAGTCATTGAGCCCCAGTGAGGAGGAGCCCAGCTGGGGCGGGGGTGGGGGGGTGGGGGGCGGCTGCAGGGCGGGCGTCCAGGCGTCCGCGGGGCTTGGGGCTGAGGCTCGCCTGCTTGGGGGGGGGGGCCTTCCCGAGCAGGGGCCCAGCGGGCACGGCTGTGGGCTCAGGGCCACAAGTCCGAACAGGAACCCGGCGACACATCCGTGTTTCTGACGTTTTTGCCTCTTGCCTAAGACGACACGTGGCACGTGGAGGGGCCGCTGGGGCCCTGCCTCCGGAGCCGCAGTCTCGTGGGCCCCTGACACAGACCGGGGGATCGTGGTGCCCGTGGCGCTCGTGGCGCTGGAGGGGCTTTGGCTCCTCTTTTCCCAGATTGGTCTGGTTCTGTGGGTTCCTTGCCGTTTCATGGGAATTGTGGGACCGGCTGTTCCATTAAAAAAAAATAAAGCTGTTAGGGTTTCGACAGTGAGTGTCCGACATCGGGGCCGGTGCGGCGAGGAGAAGTTGTCCGTCCGCGGGTCCGTGGACACTGGGCCCCTTGGCCGGGTCGTCGTCGTCTTCTTTTTTTTTTTTTAAAGATTTTATTTATTTATTTTTAGAGAGGGAAGGGAGGGAGAAGGAGAGAGAGAGAGAGAGAAACATCAATGTGCGGTTGCTGGGGGCCGTGGCCTGCAACCCAGGCATGTGCCCTGAGTAGGAATTGAACCTGCGATGCTTTGGTTCACAGCCCGAGCTCAATCCACTGAGCTATGCCAGCCAGGGCTGATTTTATTTATTTTTAAAGAGGAGGAAGGGCGGGAGAGAAACATCCGTGTGTGGTTGTCTCTTATGCACCCCCCACCGGGGACCTGGCCCTCAACCCAGGCATGTACCCTGACTGGGAATCGAACCTGGGATGCTTTGGTTTGCAGCCCGCGTTCAATCCACTGAGCTACGCGCCAGCCAGGTGGCCGGGTCTTCTTTACGCCTCCCGGCAGCGCTGTGTGGTTTTCAGGGCATGAGCCTTTCACCTTCTCGGTTAAACGTATCCCTAAGTTGTTTTATTCTTTTTGATGCAATGAATGTTTTTTTCTCCAAAAAATCTTTTAAAGATTTTATGTATTTATTTTTAGAGAGAGGGGAAGGGAGGGAGAGAAACATCAATGTGTGGTTGCCTCCTGAGCGCCCCCTACTGGGGACCTGGCCCACAACCCAGGCCTGTGCCCTGACTGGGAATCAAACCGGTGACCCTTTGGTTTGCAGGCCAGCACTTAGTCCACTGAGCCACTCCAGCTGGGGCTGAATGATTTCCTTAGCTTGATTTTTTGACTGTTCATTGCTAATGCACAGAAATGTAACTAACTTCTACATGTTCGCTGATACTCTGCAACTTCGCTGAATGTGTTCATTAGCTCTGACAGGTTTTGTGGCTTTGCAGATTGTCTGCGCGTGAGAGCACCTGCGAGCAGAAACGGCTTTCCTTCCTCCTTTCCAACCGCGGATGCCTCTTCTTTCTTTCTTCCCCGCCCCCTGCTGGGACCGGGACTCTCGGGGCCGTGTGGACTGGACTGCCGAGAACGGGCCGCCTCGTCTGCCCCTGACCTTGGAGGGAAGCACCCGGCTGGTCCCCGAGGGGCGTCGGCCACGTGTCCCGTCGGCCCCGGGCTCTCCACACGTGACCTTTATTACACTGAGGGAGTCGCTCTCTAGTCTTCGCTCACTGAGTTGTTGTTTTTTATCATAAAAGTGTTGGGTTTTGTCAAATACCTTTTCTGCTCCCACGGAGACAGTGTCATGGGCTTCTCCTCCGCTCCATCCAGGGGCCTCCGCAGGCCCCCGGCCTCGGGGTTGGTTGGTGGGGCCAGCCCCCTGCCCGTCCCCCTTG